GAACTCCTTCATCATCCCCATATTTTTCCAGCCTTTCCCCACACAAGCACCATCATTTCGTTCTGCCAAAATAATCGATTATCCTTGTTAATAATCGATTATCATTCCTCCATCAAAACACCTGCATGCGTCGTTAATCGATTATCACCCTCGGCAATCGATTATCATACATCAAGGGAAACTCCTGCAGTCCTCTATAATCGATTATCACCATACTGATAATCGACTATCAATCCCTCCAGAAAATCCAAGAAACTGCACCATCAGACAATCGATTATCTAAGATAGACAATCGATTATCCTCTTGTCCTGAAATCAAAAGGCGTTATTTCTTGAGTTTGTGCTTATTACCGGTAAACCCGGAGCTTAGATATAACATCAGGTTAGGGGTGAAATATCGTGATTAGGAGGATTTTATTGTGGATCATTGGTCCGAACCAAAGTTAGATATTATACTTATACTTATACTTATACTTATACTTCTTATTCATACCCTAATGATAGCCTCAATTATGATTTTCCTTTAGATATTTATCTTTGTTCATATTCAGTAATGATAACATCGGCAGTGGTTATTCTTTAGATTTTTATTTTAGTTCCAAAAGTAGAACTTTGCTGAATTAGAAATTTAAAGTTTATGACTAAATTATTTAATGTTATATATTTATATTAGTGTTACTAATGTACGACAATTCTCATATTTTATATGTCGCCTAGGCGGGCACTAGGCGTCCTGGCAATACACTAGCGCCGGGCCTCACCTTGGCATAGTGACAACTTTGCTTACACTATGCATATATTTTAACATAGATTCAAAAAATAATTTACAAATCACAAAAAGTAACTAAATAAAATTGAAAACTCATAATCGTAACTCGTAGAACACAAATTCGCGAGCATTTTTATTAACTAAAAATTCATATAAATATTAAGTTTTTATTTCATCAAATTTCATTTTTAATCTATCCAAATGATAGTGTGCAAAAAAATTATTCAATAAAAAAGTTAGAATAGGCTAGTTCAAATGTCAATAGAAATCAAGGAAAATAAACAAATGTTGATTTATTAACAGAGGGAGTATTTAGCATATCTCACAAATCTGATTCATTTGTATACTTAGAATTGATGAGAAATGAGAAAATAATCAAATGTTTTAACAAAATAGAAACAATCAGTTAGTATTCAATTGGGTTTTCTAGCCATTAGTCTCAAATGATGTGCATGTGTGGTCAATATTGTCTTATTTCTACTAAATTATATTTCTGAAGTTTTTATTTATTACGGAGTATATTTTTATCACCTTTATGTAGAGTCTTGATGTCATATTAAAGATTACAATTATACTTTATAGAAATAATTTCTTAAGCTATGCCTAAAAAGTGATATCATTCATTTAAAAAATATAAGCTATGCAATTATTGTATTTTCCATCTGTCCTGGTGCATTTTTGTCGTTTGTTCCTTTTTTCGTCCATTTTCTATTTAAGGAAAAGAAATAAAGCAACATCGACTTAGTTTCCACTCACTTAATACTCCCTCTTCCACCCAAAAGGTAAAAGTAAGGGTGTAATAATCACTGCATCCTCTTTTTTCTCTTATCCTTGGTCCATGTGCCAAAATGTGGACAAATGCACCGGGATTGTCCGATTGTGGAAGTGTTTTTTAAATTTGACAGCCAATTGTATAGATGTACTCCTAGTATCATAATCCCCTTGTCCCAAAAAACTCCCCAGTTGCTATTCACAAACCCTACCATCTTTATTTGCCTATTTTTGTTACTCATTTCAAAAAAAAGTCACATCACCTATTGTTTTGTAGAATTTTTTGACGTATTTTTTAAGTATGTAAGTTTTATTATTTAATTCTACACCAATTATTTAATAAATCATTTGGAAAATAATTTTAGCCAAACATCGTAAACCGTTATCAAAGGTGTTTGAGGGAAGATGGAGTATTAAAGATCTGAAAATATGATTGGTTTGATATATCATTTATACAAAATTGATAAGAATTGAAGAAGTTATCAAACTTTGCAAAAGCAGAAACAATTGGTTATTGTAGCTAGTAAGTAATGGTGTGCAGGTATAGGTAGCTGGGGAAATTAGATTTTTGCATGTTAATTGCAAATCATCTTTTTATATATAGATAGAATGATAGATGTATCTGCACTGAGAATGACAGAATGTAGTACTGTACATCTTTCACTAAGTGCACATAATGGGAATCCATTTTTATTACTTTTTGTGTTTTCCTTAATGTATTTATCTGAGTTACTGAGTACACATAACATGTTGATGTTGCAGGTTTGGTAACCACGAGCATCCTATTGGTTCTGATCGTGAAATCGGAGGTAGAGATAGGTATCCTAATGAAAGGCTTCATGGTCGATATAGTGGCCGATCGTCTGGAGGATACCCAGGTGCATCTCTCAATTTTGTAACGTTTTTGTTTAAAGTGATATCTTCTTTTTGGTATTAGAATGATACTCCCTCCTCCCCCGTGTATTTGTATAGCATATTAAAACAATAAAATAAAATGTTGAAAGTTTTCAACAAGATAAATCTGATGAAATCATTTTTATACTAATATACATTGCAATCGTTTGTATTTGTATATCTTCAATTCTGTTCAAACACTCACACATTCTTAATCATTTATCCTAGTTCGCCTTGCCTTTCAAAATTATGATTATAGTCATGGCAATTGCAAAAGTGATAATGTAAAAGCAACATATTGAAATCAAGACTTGATTCATTCATTTGGGCTATTATTGGATGGGAGTAAATGAGTAATTTGTAGTGAGTCAATGTCTTCATGCAGAAACATACTCCCTCCATCTCAATATGTCTATTTTGTTCTTCCTTTTTGGTCCATCCAAAAATGTTTGTTTAATATACTGTATATGGCCAGATTTGTGTGGTTTAAATTCATCCATACTTCACATATTCAATATCAACCACGTTTCCATATTTTCTCTATTTGCGTGCCACTTCCCTTGTCCTAAACTTAGTGTGACAGAGGGGGTAGTGGGTTTTTACTCAATTTATCCCTTGTTGACAACGATGTTTTCTTACTGGGACAATTGGCTTAATCAATTCTAGGTCACTCATGGGTTGGACTCATCGAGTATTAACCGGGCTCCTATTAAACAATTCTATTAGTTCATCAACACGCACGTGCAAATTTTTCAAAAACATTATATGAAGTACAAAACTGTCTAACAAGCTCCCAATCTAGGGTCAGGGACGGGGTTAATTATTGCTTAAAATAAAATGAGTAAAAAGGTGTCATTTTAATGCTGTATTTGCCTAAAATAGTCTTGATCATAGTCGTAAAAGGTGCGCATAGTCTTGATCATTGTTCTCTGAATGGGGGGGGGGTCTGTTAGTTCTCTACGCTAATTGCTAATCATTAGCTGAACTATTGTTGAGGGCATATAGTTATTTTAAAAAAAGATTCATTTTAGTGCATTTAATTTTCTATCTTGTATGTCTTTGAACTTTTAATAACTTCAGTGTTTTGTTCAAGACTGGGATTCAGGTCGAGCTGGACTTGGCGATGCATTTGTATCTGGTAGCACTCAAAGGTATCACTGTTGCCTTTCCATGCAAAAAGACAAACAATATCACACCTCTGCCTTTAACACGTATTTACATTTTTCCAAACCATTTGGAAACATTGCGTTGTACTAGAATGTTCCATAGTTGGATAAATGGATAACTATGAGAGGGTTTTAGAACACACTTGTGCAAAAGCAATAAGCATAAGCTCTAAGTAGATGCATTAAGCATGTAGCCATATAGGTACTCACAGGATTTATTTGTTAAAAATAAACAGAAAGCAAGAAGGTAGATACTTTGTTTTGGCTTATGGGGTTTAAACCCCTTTAAAAAAGCAATATACATAAATTTAAGTTTGTTAACTTAACAAACATCAAAATTGCAGGAGCAACTTAAAACAACAAGATTACTCCAAAAAACAAGCAATAAGCTGAAATACTTCTTCCGTCCCAAAATTGATTACATTGTTACTATTCTGGGTTAACTTTTGTATTCTCTTGTGTGTTTTCATTGATTATTCAATGAAATAAGATATTCTTGTCACCCTTTATTTTCTAGAACTTTTGACGTAGTTTTTTTTAATATGTAAATTGTTTTTTTTGTTTCTATGCCAATTTGAAAATAAAATAAATTTAAAAGATAGGGGGGTTTGCATGTGTTTGAAGAGTGTTATTTATTTTGGGACAGAGGGAGTAAGTTTTCTAAAACACTCCATGTACTGAGTATATTCAATTTAATTTGAGAAAAACTCACTGTAAGGGATTAACTTTTATTATAGAAAGATTAACATTTTATATTAACATGTTAGTTTGTATTGAAATTATCTGAATGACCTAATTCCCTAGCTGTAGAAAAGAAGAGGAATAGAACTATATAGACACAAAGAGCTAGTCTATTAGTGCACCTCAATAAGTAGCCTATTAAGGACATATGACAATCTTCTTTTAAGACTCAAAATAACAGAAGTACCAAAGGTGCAAGCTTTGACGTGGACTCAGCTGCTGATTCTGGATTCCTTAGATCGAAAGTTTTTTGGTAGCAAACGAAATATGGAAGGGTAGGAAAGAAACCAACTCTTATACGAAGTCTAATGAGCATTGTGTGGAGCAAGTATGGTGAAAAACGAAAGTTGTGGAGATAAAGAGTTACTTGCCCTTGGCAGAGTGGGGTTCCTTCTTGGCTTTAGCAAAGAGGGAACTTTGGTGCTTTCCTGCTCGGCCTTGCCGAGGGCGCACTTGAATTGACTCCAAAATTATTGATGATAATTTAAATGAATAAAACACCTCTATTTATACTAGTGTTGAGAGTCTTGGTGAGCTAGTTAATAGAGTTCTAATCTGTTATAATATTGCTATTTGGAATGTTACTTAAAACACCAAGGTTCTTTTGACACCCCCATTTGGATGTCATCTTATGACACCCAAGTTTTTTGCTACAGTGGTTCCTAACCCCCACAAACCCTGCTAGTCCGCTACCACCACCGATTGCTGCCAATTTGCTACAGACCCCCACAAACCCCACTACCACACCCCTTTCTGCCAATTTGCTTCAAAGTCACTGTAGCAAATAGGTGAAAATGGGTGGAACCATGGGAGTTTGTGGGGGGGGGGGTCTATCTGCTTCAGAGCCCAACGGGCCCCGGTGTCATAATATGAAGTATACTTTATTTTGAAAATTTTTTTAACTGTAAGAAATTCGCAATGTGCTCTGCCTAAACTTCATCAACTATCTCATCCTCTCATTTTTTAGGGGTTTGTTTGAAAGAAAATTCATATTTGACTTTATAGTTGCTTGGCATTTATGTGCTCCCTATATTGTTTTGCAGAGAAGGATTGAAGTCATATAAGCAGTTCATTCAGGAACTTGAAGATGATATTTTGCCAGCAGAAGCTGAACGAAGGTCATAATGGGTGTTCCTTATTGTTGTGGGTGTTTTTTGATATGTACTTTTCATGTTTCATTTATGTGATATCTTAATGTATGTACTAGCTTCTTAAACTATAACATGGGTATCTATATTTTATGCCAGATATCAAGAATACAAGTCAGGATATATAGAGGCCCAGAAACGATCTTATTTTGATGCACATAAAGATGAAGATTGGTAGCTGTTACTTACCTTAATGATTCCTTTTCAGTTTACTTTTTGGTTCAACTTTTCATGTTAAATACTTGTATACTCAGGTTAAAGGATAAATACCATCCTACGAACCTTGTGACTGTTATAGAAAGGTATGTTATGTTGTGTTGGTTGAAAATTTAATATATAGCAGAAAACTATCCTTTTGCACCACTTGTGGTTTACCTTTTATTTGCCTTACACATGTGATTGTGGCTGTGATATTTGTGCTCTTTCCTTCTCTTCTTGACCATTTTAGGAGGAATGACCAAGCACGGAAATTGGCAAAAGATTTCATACTTGATCTACAAAGTGGAACATTGGATCTGTAAGACACTATTCCATCCTTAAAATGGATTTGTAGATATAAAACATCTGACTGCCCTGGTTTAAATATGTGCGCTTGAGGCGTGCCTAGGCGTGACGCAGCAGTGCGACCAGAAATTCGCCTTAGGACTTCAAGGTGCAATAGTATGCATAAGTTGGATGCTTCCTTGTGCCTTCGTGCGCTTTTTGCCCTTCACGAGGCGTGCGCTTCCTGGGCCTCCGAGAACTTCTAGGGTTTTTATTTTTTAAGTCGCGACTCACTTATCTAACACTCTCACGTCACACAATTGAATAGAGCATAGTTTTGTTGACTTCTCTTCTCCTTAGTGTCACCAATTCTTCTCTTCTCAGTAGTGTCTCCATCTCCAGGTATTTTTTTCTCAGATTATCTTCACTCCTCCATCCTCCTCCTGTATGTTCTCTATTTTTTCTTCTTCATCCTCATGTATGTTCCTCTTTTTTTCTTTCTTCATCCTGATGTATGTTCTCTATTTTTCTTTCTTCATAATCTTTTTGCATAATATTTTACAGAGTATTATATTTTAAGCTTTAACTTTGAACTTTAAAGTTTTCTTTTATTGCTATATAATTATTGTTATTATTATTATTATTACGGAGTATTATTATTATCACTATTATTATTGTTGTTGTTATTATTGCTATTATTGCATGATACTTAAAAAGTTATGCACAAGCCATATAAATATATACTCGGATATTTTGGGCAAAAGTGCCTTGGTGTTCCTAGCACCTTTTAAAAACAAGCTCACTGCATCTGTATTTATAGTTTTTTAATCCGAGCAATGTTGATTTATTTCTAAGCACTACATTTTTTGCATAATTGCATGTGAAATAGAGGTCCAGGTGTTACCCCTACAGCAAACAAAGCAGGACAGTCCAGTGAGCCCAATTCTGATGATGAAGTAGATGAAAATGATAAAAGAAGACGGTATGGCAGGGGGGCAGGTAAAGAGGCTAAACTACTTGCAGCTGCCCCAAAGGCACACCCAGTGACTTCTGTGCCCAGACGAACTCATAGTGATGTTGAACAGGCTCAGGCACTTGTCAGAAAGCTTGATGCAGAGAAAGGAATCGAGGATAACATATTATCTCGGTCCGATACTGATAGAGGGAACAGGGATAAATCTTATGCAGGTTCCTCTGGCCCTGTTGTTATAGTGAGGGGCTTAACTTCTGTTAAAGGTCTTGAGGGTATTGAACTTCTGGATACCCTTTTAACCTATCTCTGGCGCATTCATGGAGTGAATTACTATGGTATGACTGAAACAAATGAAGTTAAGGGGCTCAGACATGTGAGATTTGATGGGAAGACTTCTGATACTAGTAATGGTGATGAATGGGAAAGTAAATTAGACTCACACTGGCAATCAAGGCTAAATGGACAGGATCCTCTGGAGGTCATGACCGCAAAGGAGAAGATCGATACAGCAGCTATTGAAGCTTTAGATCCATTTATCCGAAAAATTAAAGATGAAAAGTATGGATGGAAGTATGGGTGTGGAGCCAAGGGTTGCACAAAGCTTTTTCATGCTGCCGAGTTTGTTACCAAACACTTAAAGTTGAAGCACCCGGACTTGGTGCTGGAGCTGACATCTAAAGTGTGTGAAGATTTATACTTCCAGAATTATATGAGGTAAGTGCAAACACCTTTAGCATTTATCCTCAATCTCTTCATCACAAACCTGAATACATTCCAATCATGGCAGTGATGCAAATGCACCTGGCGGGATTCCTGTGATGCAGCAATCTATTCCGGTACGTTGTGCATATAATGTACCTGATTCTTGCTTTATGTCATACATATCTTCTTGTAACTTTGATCTAGGCAGTTGGCACTGATGCAGTTAAAACTGTTCACTTCCGTGTTCTTTCTTGCAAAACTTTAGTAGTGACTACATGGGCTACAAAGGTGTGCTATGTCTTGAAAAACTCACAAGCCTAAAGGGCATGGTTTAGAAATACACAAACATTCCTCAAGGTGAATTCTTTCCTAGAGGCAAGGCATCCCTATGCATCTCAAGTCTCAACCAATTTTTAGAAAATGAAAAAGAAACATTGCGTGGTGTTGAAAAAATCCCTGGTGTATTGCTTTTACTGTCCAAAACCTCATGGAAACTAAGAAGCAAGGGAATGTTAATTTGCCGTTTTGATTTAGGCCATTATTTACCTGAACCCAAAACATTGTAAATATGGCTTTTATATCTGGAGGCATATGCTTCTACCAATTTTCAATTCCACGACGATAAGAATTGAACGTTTGAGATTGAAATTGTTGTTGTCTTGGTCTTTTGATGAATTTCCGGACTCCCTATCTAGATTTTGGTTTTGTGGAATACTTTATTAAGCTGTAGCTAAATACCCCATATTATTTGTTGAGTGCCCATTGCCCAATTAAAATACAATAACTAAGCCCTGGGATAATATACTCCGCAATAGCTTAAGTCCAATGCTAATACAATAATGAAGAATTACTAATTGAATAAGTAACTATGGTCTTATAGTTGGCAACTAAACTGCCTACTTGTAATAAAAAAGACAGCTTCAAGTCAGCATATTTCGTAGATCATGGCTTCTTGCACATTTGATATCTTCTGCAAGAGTGTCAACACATACGGATCTAGGAAATGGTGTGGTGCATTGCAGGGATAATTACTTTGTTGCTGATGCATGCCTGTTTATTGATTACAGTATTTTAATTTCATTTTTTGTAATATGTTTTGAAAAGGTTTCTTGGATCTTGATAAGTTGATTTTAGTTTAATTTAGTAATCACAAACCTTTTAGCTTCATTTTTTGTATTGAGGTGCTTAAGTTTTACAGAAAGAGAAGTTACAAAGACGCAGACCTGGTTTAGATGGTCGACTGAAGGATGACAGAGGTGGACATAGAGATCGGTCTGGTGAAAGATTTGATTGGTCTGATAACTCGCAGCTGGCAGATTTCCAGTCCAAGAATGATGGTGGAGGTAATCCTAATGAACAGATGTTTGACAGCGTTGGTGGACAGGGATTTCCTGTTGCTGGTTTCCCTTCTGATATGGTTCCTCCCCCCGTACTGATGCCTGTTCCTGGGGCTGGGTAAATTTTAATCCCTTTCTCTGATATCTAGTAAATCGAATTCTCTTTCATACCTATTTATACTTTTTTCTTATGTCAATGTTATGATCATATATACAATTACTTGTTTTCAGCCCATTGGGGCCTTTTGTTCCTGCACCACCGGAAGTTGCAATGCAGATGTTTCGAGAACAAGGTAACACTGCTTCCTCTGACGGCAGTAGGAATGGCAGGTTAGGCCCACGTATGAATGGGCCTGCCCCAATCATTGCTTTACCTCCCACTCTTCGACAGGATCCTAGGCGCTTAAGAAGGTAAGCTTTGCCTTTCTTTTCTTTAAGGGTGTGTACAACCAACCGTAGACGTGTACACGTTGGTGATGCTTTGATGTCACAAATTACATAAGATGGAGATCCAAATAGAAACAATTATTTTAACTCAAGCGAGCAAGCTTGTTGTGTTGACAAGTCAAAACGAGTTGCCTGCAAACCGATTAGTTGCTGACTTGCTGTCTATTAGTTGACTATCAACATCATGGTTCTCAAAGGCGCCAGTAGCACTAGCGCATACCTTAATGGCTAATAAGCACAATGGCACACCTCAGATTTTTACATAAATTTAGAAATATATTGGGCCATTTTTAAATGCTATTGGGCGTATGAAGCCTTTGAGCCATAAATTTTCTCTCTGATTTTTTTTCTTTAATTGTTCTGCTTCGCATCATATATGCCAGGCAACAGTCAGTCAGTCACATCTTCTTTCCTTGTTTTTTCTTTTTTACATCTCTCTCTCTCTCTCTCTCTCTCTCTCTCTCTCTCCCCCCCCCTCTCTCTCTCCCCCTACTAAATCTCTTTATTAGCATACAGAATAATTAAAGACGAAATCTTACAAGCGTGTAGAACGTAATAACAAAAATAAAATCAATATGAACCATTTTATTTTAAACACTTGATAAATCCGACAGGTCTTAAAATATTATGGAGAGGGGTTTAATATAATTGTCAAACTGAAGTGTTACAAAATCCGTTCTATTAAAAAAACTGGACGGGTATAACGGAATATATTTAAGTGGAGTGGATAGAAAAAGATGTGGGTGTTAACAAAATATGGGCGGATGAATACGTTAGCGTGTTAGAAAAGTAGGGTGGATGGGTTAGGAAAAAGTAGTTACATGTATTTTAGAATTGTTTTAAACTTTTCCCCAAAAGTGTAGCTTTGTGGGGGGGGGGGGATTGGCCAATGATTTTCATTGATATGACTTGGAATACTTGATTGATAATGTCAACTGTGCCTTATTCATAAATTTATGTTGGCACTTTCTGCTCCCTTTTTGGGTTTACTGATTTTGGTTGCAGCACTAACATCAGTTTGATCTTTGATAGCTATCAAGATCTTGATGCACCAGAAGATGAAGTCACTGTAATAGATTACAGAAGTTTGTAGCATCATTAGCGGCTGAAGATAAAGATAAAAGGGAAACCCACTGTGTTTGTCCCTCAATTCTTATGAATCAGCTTTACAATTCAGTCCTTAATCGTCGCTATTTTATTTATGCAACTTATCCCACAATTTTTCTGAAATTTCGCCAATTCAGTTTCCATCATTGTGTATGAAATCTATACCTCTCAATGGTTCAGAAGAGGGACTAAATTGGCGACACCTCAAAAGAATTGAGGGTCTAAAATGCATAAATTGACAGTGGACATTTGTATGATTCGTAACAATTGGAGGACCAATATGGCTATTTCCCTCAACTCGGAGACCACAAAAACCGAAGGGCGGAGAGGACTTGTGCTTATTTTTGAGGTACTCTCGGGGAAAGCAACAAATGAATCGAACAATTATTACTGTATCAAGTGACTTGCATGTTTGGAAGTTAGATACTCAGTGTTTCCTTTTTTGTTTGTCTTGTTTTTTGGTTTTTGTATTCTTAAGATACTTCTGATTGGGCAAGTGTGTATTTTATGCCCTAATAGTATAATTTCCTACCCAAAAGCACAATCTCCTAATTTATTTCCATGTGTTGGTCTTTGAATCCAATATTTTTCAGTGAGAGGCAGCAATTTAGTTCAATTGTTATTCTCCAATTACTACGTTTTAATGACATCACTTACAGATCTGTTCATCTTATTTATTACTCGATTTAGGAGTCAAGTTTGACGCCTAATATTTGTTCGCGTAGTTGCAAAACTTTAATCCGAAATAAAAAAGTGTTATTAAATCCAGATGTGACTGGCCAGACCGGTCGATTGGATCACAAACCGTCTACGGTTCCAGTATGAACTGGTCTGGGTGCTAGATATTCTCGTCATCAGTTAGAGATGAAAGTATACTGAAAGTAGGAGACTAGGAGCCTAGGAGGTAGAGATTTGAGCTCTACTTTAAGCACTTTATCGTTTTTGGATACATGTTCTTTATGAATCAGAACTTCAAATTTCTTTCGTTATCTCCACCGGTTAGAAAGATTTCATAGCATCTCAAGACATTAGTTTACCATCTCATTTCATTGGGTTTCTTCATTGATTGACATGGTGTATTCATTGGATCTTTACACTATGTTTGGTTCAAGGAATTTGGAAGGAAAAGAAAAGAAATTGAGAAGGAAAACAATTTTTCTTGTTTGGATAGAGAGGAAAAGAAAAGAAAAGTGGATGGAAAAGGAAATGAGAAGACAAAATCTATTAAGAGGAGGGAAATTCAAATTTCTCCCATTTTGGTGAGGAAAATGAGAGAAACCATTTTCTTCTTTTTTCTTTCCAAATTCCTTGAACCAAACATAGTGTTAAAGAATAAATGAGCGAGATTTCTAGATCGTATTGGGAGAATATAAATCAATGATGTTCATATTAAAATCAAGAAGTAAGCAACATTCTTACTAAACTCAAGTACACTTTAGGGCAATTAGTGTTTTGCAAAGTTAGGTTAGACTTGTAAACCGGTTGGATTGGAATAGTAGGTTTCGAGTAGGTTCAGATTCGGATCGGTGTGGGTTTCGGTCCATACTTTTTGAATTCGTAATGATCCAGTCTATTTCGGTCTAGATTCAGAATTGTATCGGGTTAGATTGGTAAATCTGAATACTACAATAGTTCATTCTAGAAACCAGCTATTCATTGCACTCACTCACACCAAGACCTTTTGAATTCTTCCTGTGGTATTATTGAATAGAACTTTTCATGAAACTTCACTCTCCACCTTAGAGGTATATCAAAAACTATACACAAACCTACTCCAATGACTAATGCAAACATTCTTATAAGTACTCCCTTCGTCACAAATTAAGTTATCTGTTTACTATTTATATGATCAAGTTTTATTCACTAATTTATTTATTTTGTTACTCATTTGATGAAATAATATAATCAATCATGTCACTACTTGTTTCGAAGAACATTTGATGTGGTTTCAAAATATGTAAATTTTATTTTTAATTCCACCCAGTTCTCAAATAAATTGTATTGAAAATAATTTCAATCAAAATCGTAAACCGAAATATATGATTTAAATTAGAACGAAAGTAGTAGTATTGACAACAATCAAAGAAGAGATATTATTCTATGATTTTAAGGTCTACATGTGAAATGTGAACGTTTAAAAACTTTTCATTGATTAGCAAGCGATTTTTTTTGTAAAACTAGTATTCTGACCCGTTCCATGCACGGGGTAAGAAATTTATGTCGATTCGGAATTATTTCAATGAAATTTATTTTTCGGAATAAAGAAAATATATTGTTCACATGATTTTTAATACTACAAATGATAAAAGCTAAAGTAAAATAAATAATATTTGAGGAACAGAATGTAGAATTAATAATGTTTATTTTAATACCAATTTTTCTGAAAGATTTTAGGGTATACAGCATTTTTGGTATGGTTGCAAGGGTTTTCATTGTCATCTAGAACTAATATTTTTAATCATGTCTTTGTCTTCACTCGTGAAACAACAAAATATAGTTGACCATGTGTAAACACTCATTTGGTTAAAAATAATCCCACAAATGACAATGTTTGATCTTGACTTTTGTTGATAGTCATAGCAAAACATAACGCGATCAGGAATTGTCTTCTTTGAAACTTCAAGGGTAGCCTTGTATCATATGGTACCAAATTCATTCTAGGGATGTAAACTATTTCCCCGACTCGATTTCCCGAAACCACAATTGCACCGATAACATTATTTTGCAGCTCTTGAACGATTAATCTTGTCCCATTACACAATCTAGATGTTTGGTCAATGTTCCTCAATAGCATAATCAGTACCCCTTTTTTCAAGACTATTTTGTGGTTTGGGATTTCTGAACATTTGATTTCGTTTAAAAACTCAACCGTTATCCAATCGCCATCAACACCTACATCTGCTTCTGCTTGGCACGAAGAATAAGAATTCAAGTACTCCTTTTCATCATCAGGAATGAAGGACAGAACAAAATCATTTATCATTTCAACTACTTCGAGAATTGGTGCCAATATTTCTCTATCCTCAAAAAAATAGTTTTCAAAATTCTCAAACATAAGTCATTTCCCAATATAAGACTTAAACTTTTTCAAATTTTTCATTTTTCATTTTTCATTTTTCAAACTTTTTCCCAATATTATTTTTGAAATTTTTCATTTTTCATATCTGCACTAAAACAAAAGTCATTTTCCAATATAAGACTTAAATTTTTTATCCCTTAAATAACACATAATAATGTCTAGAAGGAGAAATAATATTCTGTGACGGTGAACATTTATCTAAATAATGACTAATGGATAATGACTAAAAGTGCTACATTGGTAATTAAATAAAAAATATATGTTGCTATTTAGAGAAAGTAATTAAGTTTTAATGTTATTTAGGTAAATTCCTCTGACTATGAATATTATAGTCAGAGGCATATATATATATATATATGCCAGATCAAACATGAATATTATATATATTCATGTTTGTGACTATGAATATATATATATATATATATATATATATATATTAAATTTTTTTTATTAATATTATTGAAACGGTCGATTACAAGCAGGGGGCCCGAGGCATGTTAACCTCGTGACCGCCCCGGGGCCCGTTAAACACCCGAGGCAGATAGCCCACTATAAATTACCCAATTTAAATCTCAACCCCATAAATCTGCAAACACTTCCCAGGGGTCACCCATCATTTCTGGTACTCCATGGCCAGCACGCTTAACTCTCTTAAAATTCCCCCAAAGTTGCCCCTTCTGAGGTTCGAACCCGGGTGGTGTGGTTCGCCAATCAACCCTGTAACCATCTCTACAGGGGGAACCACTATATATATATATATATATATATATATATATATATATATATATATATATATATATATATATATATATATAGGGTTTGGTTCCGGTGAGAAAGAGATCTAATGAAAGAAATGAGAATAAATATAAACCCTCCGATCTAATCAGATCTTAATCTGATCGCCAGGGCATAAAAGTCTTTCCACGGCACTCTATTAAACGCTAACCATCGTGACTCACCCTCATCCCTGATTTCTCGCTCACAATCGAATTCACTTTCCCCATTTCATCCGTATCAATTTTGCAGATATGAATTCCCTTATTTATCAACCTCTTAATTTTACAAACCTCCCAATCGTCCGATTTTGGGATTCCTCTTCCTTTATCGTTTTTTATCATGGTTCCAGGTATGTTTTTTTATTTCGTTTTGGTTAGAATTATGTAAATATCATCTCGATTTTTGCTCGCCTGATGCAGTTCGTTGGATTCATGAATGCTTCT